AGTTTTGAATGGTATTATAGATTCTTCTTCTGATTCAAGTTCAAATAACAAAAGCAATAAGTCCAATGATGTGAATCAGAAGATAAACTCAATGTAGATAATGAATTTGATGTAGGTAGTGAACCTGATGTAGATAATGAACCTGGTATAGTTAGTGTACATGGTGGGGTTAATGAATTTTCTATTGTTAGTAAATCTAATATCATAAGTAAATTATAATTCAATGTCAAAAAAAATTATTATTAGGAATTAACTTATTTTGGTATTATATTTAAAAAAATTGGGTAAAAGTTTTAGTCAATTTCAATCTGTTCTTCATTTACTCAAAAATAAAATAACATTCAATTATATTACAAACAATATTGATCATAAAGATGAAAGAGATTCTAAAAAAGTTATTATCAAAAATTATTATAGAAAATTAAACAGCATTATTATTATTGTATATTGTATATTAGTTAATTGCAATTTTATTAAATTTATAATTTAAATTCTTACATTGTGCAATACATTATGGGTATGTGCCTCTGTCATAATCTATAATTTTAACAAAGTTTGTTCAATAATGCCTAGGCAATTCAATTGATTCATACATTATGAATTTAAAGTTATGATGGTATTTATGGATCTTTTGAATTTTCGAAAGCAAATAGGGCTTCATTTCCATTACTGGCTCTAACTGCTTTGCACTTCATGTCACTAAGGATATACAATTAATTATATTTTTAACAAAAAAAATAATTTGGTAAAAGTATGGTACCTATATTTTTGTTGGGGTGGATACTGGTTGGGACACCAATTAGGAATTAGAATGTGTCATTTGAGAAAAATCTGATTGCTTTTGCTCCATTGTTTCCAATTGCAGGATGAAACAACTGTTATAAATATTATTTTCTTGTAAATATTTTATTTTTCTATTAATTTTCTTATTTTATTTTCTTTGAGAAATTAAAGGTTATTATTCTTGAATTCTGGAAATTCGATTATTTATTACAATATTTTCTAATTCTTTATAGACGTTAAACATATCCTTATAGATATCAGTATATTCAATTCTAGGTTTCGCAACACTAACAAAAGAATTAATTTCCAACTTTTCATCTTCAAAATCATTCTCAAGTTGAATGCCATCTTTGCTTTCATAGCAGCCCCCATAGAAGCTGCGTTGATATTGTTATTATCGTTACAATTATGATGATGCTTTTTTTTCCAAATCTCTTTGCCAAAAACATCTGATAACACTTGTAAAATTTCATAATTTTTACTTGCTCCTCCCACAACAACTACTTTATTGACCGAGTTTTCAAAATCATTAATCAGTTTCTTGATTCTGATCCTCATTGAAATAAACTGTGACTCGATGATACACCTAACATTATCAAGCTTAGGATCGTCTTGAAACTCATCAATCAGCTGGCTATCTTCAAATCTATAAATCCCTTTTGCAAACGGTATGATCTCCTGCACTAAAAAATAAAATCCCATTTTTCTTTTGTTCGGTTTCGAGGTTTTCAACAATTGATTGAATAGTGTCCATGCTGATGACAACAAGGAGGGATCATTGCTGTCTTTCTTATTGTTGTTGTATATTTATCACGAATGTACTCACATGTTAAACTTCCATTCTTATAGCATATCATTGACATATAAGCTGATGGATTTGTTGGATGACATAGTGTGTGTGATTCAATTGTTGGTGATGGTTTAGTTGTGTACAATAAAATTGTATCTGATGTTCCTAATGATATTAATATATCTCCAGGAGTAAGATTCATAGATATAAGAGTGGCTGGATTATCACCTGTAAATGGAATGATTCTACAATCTATTTTTTTTTTAAAAAAAAATAATCACTCACATCAAATGCATACATGTTTATATATATATATATATATGTATGTATGCATGTATGTATATATATATATATATCATACCTTTATCAAATCCATATTTTTTTACAAAATAATTGGAAACATTTCCCAAAATTTTTAATCCATTAGGTTCAGGCTCGCCAAGTTTCAATTTTTAATTTTTCCCCATCACCATTTCCACAGATTTTTAATAATTCATCATTCCATTGTTTATTGTTTATATCAAGCAAGTTCATTCCTGATCCGTCAGCTATATCAATTGGTGCAAATCTACCAAGGAATATCGAGGCAAGGAATGAGCTAATTAAAGATATTCTTTTGGTTTTTGAATATGCCAAAGGATTTGTTTGGCTAAACTAAAATAAAAATTTACATTATTATACAAGTTAATTTTATTTTTTGATTTATTTTTTTTTTTTTTAAAAAAAAAAGCGAGTATACTTTGGTAATTTGATTTCCTGTGAATCTTTCATAAGCTATTGATCCTGATAAATTCACCAAAATTTCTTTACCACCAATTAATTTTTCTAAATTCTTACATTGTTCTGTGGTACTTGAATCTTGCCAAGTTGGTGAATCTGGTATAGAAAAGGCATTTATAAATTGTGAAACCAAAATTTCAGTTGGATTCAAATTTTCTAAAATTCCCAAAGAATTTTCTGACCAATAAACACTTCCATGTTGCTAATAATTTTAATTATAAAATATTTTTTTGTTAGAGGAATGAAAATAAATAGACAATTGATTGATTAAAAAGGAGTGAGAAGGAAGGGATCTTACTCACTTGAGCAGCTCCAGACATTGCTTTTATTTGATGAAATGGAAATTTTTTTTCAGATAGTTTATTCAACAATAAATCAATTGATTCAATCCACATTAATGTAGGGCAAATAACAACATTCTCATTTGATATTACACCATTTTTTGTTCTAAAAGAAAATTAATAATAACCGATAATCATTATGGTTTATTTTTATAAAAATTAATCAATTTATACAATAATTATGGTATGATAATAACCCATAACTTGGTAATTCTTTATCAAAATTAACTAATTCTTCAAATACCACTTTGCTGATTTCATTGATTGCTGTGAATTTTAATTGTTGTGTTGATAAATCAAAACCTGCAAATAAATTTGAATTATTAGACATTTCATTTTATTTAAAAAAATTTATTTTGATTGGCCAAGAATATTATGTATAATGTGGCTTAGAAAAATAATCAGAATTGAAAGGCATGCGGGAAAGCAGAAAGGTTAAATGGTGCCTGGGGTTTTTTCTTTAGGTTTTGTTAGATGGAGAATAAAAAATGATTAAATGTTTAAATGTTTGATTTTAATTATTAAGTAATAATATCATATTAAATATTTAAATAATGATAATTCTATATATATGTAAAAGAATAACATTTTTTATCTATTTTAATTAAATTAAATTAAATAATATAAGTTAAAAAGAATATAATTATTTTTTAAAAAATATACAGTATTACAAATCTTTTATATGATATTTCCCCTTGAAAAAAAGGAAAAAGAATGGAGTGTATGTATGCACGTGTTTGTGCCAAAAAATCTTATCATTATATTGGTGCAAAGATGGTAGCATTTTCAGGGTATTTGTAGTATTTGTGCTCTTAATGAATCCGTATATCTTGTTCTTGTTCCTGACGTAGTTGATCTTGATGTATTTGTAGATCTTGTTCTTGGTCCTGATGTATTAATTGGTCTTGGTTTGGATCTTGGTGCATTGGTTGGTCTTGATCTTGTTCTTGATGCAATGGTAGTTGTAGTTGTTTTTGTAATTGATCTCTAGCCTCTCTAGTGCTATTCATTATATTCATAAATATATCTATGTATTTTCTAGGTCCCATTTTAATCTCTACAGCATTGGTCATATTTCTATCCTCTGCGAACATCTTCATCATTGCTTTGATATCCCTTTGAAACTTCCTAGATTTTGATCCAGCTATATCTTTCTCACTTGGATCAACACAAAGTAAATCATATGGATCATAGGCAGGATCTGGAGTATCAATTGGTGGGCAATCAGAAATTTTACTTTGAAATTCATGACCACGCAATATTATTCTATGAAATGTTGTCAAATTTCCCCATAAATCCAATACAGGCAGATCGTTATAATTCGCTAAAGCCTCACCAGGAAGTTCTTTGAATATGACATTTTCAGTCATTAGTGGTACACCAAATATTGATAGTGGATCATGTTTACCTTCTCTAAAACGAATGTGAGTATCATCATATTCAGCAAGATTTGTTGAAAAACTGGTGAAATTACTAAAATTTGGATATAACATTACATAACCTCGGAGATATACAAGTTCAATAAAAAACTGTTTCCATGAATTTTTCCAATTATTGGAACGACTATGAGGAATACTAATGGGTTGAACTTTAAAATTATTATTATCATCCTCCAAGCGATCAATAAGATAATGGTGAAATTCATACCAAATCTCTGGAAAGTAAACACCGCCCCAATCACTAGGTGCCTGACAAAGATAAGGTGACCGAACATCATATTTTGTGTTGTTGAATACTTGTTCAGGATAAAATTTTTTATGACCAGAGAGTGTAAGTTCCATGTGTTTTGGACTGTATAAACTGATACCATACATCCTTTTACTGTGTATCTTATCAGGACCATACTTATACTTTAAAACAATATATTTTGACCAGATATAATAAAAAGGTGATAATTCAGTATCATCCTCTAGCAAAACTGCATAATCATGATCATTGTATGGGTAATATGCTTCGACTACAGCAGGTAACAAACCACCTTGACCTACTCTACGTCTGATGTTTTTTGAACCATGGTCCCAATTAAATTTATCAGCTAGTTTAACAATATGTGGACTCGCACCTTTATCCATATTAATTGTCAAAGGAATTTCATCACCAAAGTATATAGATGAATTCAATGATTCTAAAAGTCTATTAAAAGAATTAGGTCGATTCTGAGTAAGTATTTGTAATTGAAACTTTGGTAAATTCCAACCTTCATAAATAATTATAAAAAAATAAAAATCAATATTACTATTATAAAAATAAAAATAAAACAATAATATTAATATATCATGTATAATGGAATACTGACTTTTTAATGCTTCAAAGGACAAATCAGCCATAATATCTACAGCATGAACTATTTCATCTAAAGGTAATTGTATTGTAGTAATATTTTTAAATCCCTCAGCAGCAATAGTTATTCCATGAATTGCATCACTATCTTCAATCTTTGGATATATTACAACTTCTGGTTTGAAATAATGTAGCATACGATTAACACCATAAAGCATTCTGCTCTTTAGGTTTATCTCATCTTGAGTAGGAAAGCTATTTTGAAATTCTGCTTGAATGCTTAAATCATATATTTCAACATTACAATCTGATGAATACTTGATGAATCCTTTCGTATTTGAATCGGAGGATTCTTGTGAAAAGTCAGCAAATAATACATTGACCAAGTTATCCTTAATCATGGATAATTTACAAAATAATGGCCTAAATGTTTTCCCCTGATCATAACTATCAACCACGAATAGAATCTTATTCAACTGGGAATTCATTAACAATTTTTCCTTGAAAACTAGAGGATAGCCACGTTCAATGTAATAATTCCATGATTCATCAGTATCAAAATTTGATTTAAGGTCTTTGCATTTCTTTTGTTGTATTAAATTTCTATCACCCCAAGAATCTTCATCATGATGGTTAGTTGGTAGGATGTAAGAAGGAATGTTTGCATGATATTTGAGCGAAAAAGAAAAAAAAAAGCCAAAAGGAATTTTTACAGATTCCATATTATTTTCCTGGAACAATATGTGAATCCATTGTTTCTTGAATAGCCATATATTAGTTAACATGTCAACTTTTTGAGATAGGTTGATTGATTCAAGATCATCAGGCCATGATTCATGATCAGCAAAACATACTAGGGACTGTTTATTATTTGATCTGTCATCCACTTCAATATAAGCACCCGTGGTTCCTAAAATAGCATTGTGATACTCTTTTGTATTTGCAGTGTGAACCATGTTTTGAATAAATTTTTTACCCAGTACCACTCCAGAATCCAAAAAAAGAATGTGTGAAGTTTTTACAGCTTGCGCAACTTCTAACCAACCAATGATTCTAAATTTGTTTGTTTCCATAACATGTATCCATACATCAAAGCCACTATATTTATCATTCTCTTTAATGACATGTTTGACTTTTTTAGCTGTATTTTTAGAGGCAATTATAATCATGCCTTGTGGCATAATTGTTTGACTAAATATAGAATTCAATTGTAATTCAACATTGTCGTTATTTTTAATTATAGAAACTACGGTTAAATTTGAGGGTAGACTAGGTTTCCATCTAGAGTTTAAGTCTAATAATTGTGAATATGTATGCTCGCTCAACATAGTAGTAGGATTGACTCCTCCAAACAAATCATCTGGTTCTAGTTATCATTAAGTTAAAATTAAATATGCATGTATATATATAGATAGATTAAAAGCAAGTAAAAATAACAAACCTGTAGTATATTGATGGTAAGGAGGTTCAGTAGTAAGTGATAATTTATCAAAATACTTTTCTAAAATTGAGTAGTAAAAAAAAAATATAAGGGGTATAATGGTAAAGTAACATAACAGTTTTGTTATGGAGGGCAAACATAAAGTTGAGCATGTTGGCCTTAATTTTAAACATGCTAATCTAGCACACTTTTGAAAAGCTTGACAACAGGCCATTGCTTTTTATAATTAAAAAAAAACTTATAATATATATATATATATATTTTAAAAAAAAGAGTGAAAATGGAGAAAATTTAGTTGTTGTTATTATTAATTTGAACGTAGTGCAACATTTATTACTTGTAATATAGGATAATATATTAATATTAAAAAAAAAATTTTTAAATAGCACAAAATAATGAAATTGGGTGATTCTCAATTTGCATCACATTTGAAAGCAAGATCAAAAAACATAGAGAATTTTACCAGCTTTTGCAGCTCATGAAGAACTTTTAAAAATTATTAGATGGACATATAAACAAATAGACAAATCATATAAATAAATAAATAATAGTAACGTACCTTAATCTCTAAGATTAATCTATTTATTGTTATTGTTGGAGAAACAAAATTCAGGTAAAACCACGCATCTTACACAATATCTTTATGAAATGGTTATAGCAAGTATGGAATTATTGGGTGTACACAACCTTGATATGTGCCAGTTGCTAAACGTGTAGTGAAGAAATGGATGCAAATAAAATTTTAATATTTATTAGTAACTGATAAATAAATCCATCAAGAAGTTTTTAATTTATTTAGTGTAATCTTGGAACAACAGTGGGTTATGAAATTCGATTTGAAGGCTGTACTTCTGAAAGTACTCTGATAAATGTACAAGACAAAATTAATTTCTTATAACTGATGGTGTGAATCATTTAAAGCATCAGAACTTGATCATTATAATACTGTTATAATGGACAAATCTCATGAACGTTCACTACAGACTAATGTTTTAATTGGTTTATTAAGACAAGGTATTTATTTGTACATTAACTTTTTATCATTAAAAAATATATCACAGCATGTTGAAAAAACTTTTATTTTCATTTATATATTTTTAAGTGATTACACACACGGAAGGGACCTTAGATTACAGCAACTATGAATGTAGAAAGGTTAATTTTATTTTATATATTTACTTTTTTTTTCTTTAAATTTAATAAATAATATGTGTATATTTACTATTTTTTGGAAATTATGCTATATTTCTGTTTTAGATTGATTCTCTGGTTGGAGTGGCTCTTTCTTGGCTAGATTGGGCGAATAAGATGAAGCATTGAAGTTATTTGATTCAGAGGGATCTGAATCTGATGAATCTGTCTCGAATTCTGTTAAACAAGACTCAGGTTTAGGCTTTAACTTATCAATTATCATCCATGAGTTAAGGCAAATTACAAGTTGGAAGGCTTCAGAAAAGCGAGAGGCTTTAACATTCTCCTTGACAACAATGTAATTAATAAACTCCAGGACCAGCCCGCTCCCCCTCTCTGAAGTTTAATTCATGATATATCATCAGGGAACCAAGTCAAATTAGCCTAACTGTAACATATGGAAGATGAGAATGTTTTAAATATTTGAGCAATAAAATGTTGCATATCGAATCGTTTCTTAGTGTTCACAGACAGTCCAAGAGCAGTTTTACATGCATATTGTATGTGATTTATCTTCAATGGTCATCATGATAAGGAATATTATATAATTACCTATCGCTATATAATGTAAAAGACATAACTAACAGATTTCATTCATGTTTTGATCTCGCTTTACTATTTTATAAGAAAAAATGGTGTTAATACAAAAAAAATAAATCATTGACTATCAACAAATAGCATATCTTCCTCAGAGCCATACCAAATAATGCTTCCATGTTTATTAACAATAAAAAAAATTTGTGGGTTTCTCTGTACAATGCTTGCTTAAAATAATATTTTGATTTTATGTGTAACCATCTCAACAAATAAATTTTTTAAAAAATAAAAAATGAAAAAAAAGAAATCAAATTTTAGGAGGATTATAAAATTAGTAAGTATTATTAAAGGAGAAAAAAATGCTTAGAATAATTATTTCAAGGGATTTTCTAGTTTTTTAAAAGACAATATTTGTGATGATGTTAGAAACCATTTAAATATTTATTTATAAACTTTATTTTTATTTACTTAGTGGGAGATGATATTATTAAAGTCCCTTTGATCAATAACGACGAAGAAGAAGAAGATTCAACACACACTTTTAATGATAACAATGATCTAACTTGTGACTTCTAATGAAGATGGTGGTGTTGTTGCAGTTCATTTGATCAATAATGATAAAAATTCTTTTATTGATAACAACAAAATTGAAGATGTTGATGATGAGGTTGAAGATGATGATGATGATGAAGAAGACGATGATAGATTTCTAATAAACTCTAGCATCCATACAGACCCATGCCATTTATAATGAATGGCCATTTGACCTTCAGAAGTAGTGAGGTCAATTCTAGGGGGTTAGAGTATAGATAGATGTTAAATACCACTTCTTGTCAAATATTCTCAGGATTAACCTCACTATTTCTGATGGATATATTGCTTTTAAATAGTAAATAATTTTTTAATTAAATTTACCATAAAAATAATTATTAATTAAAATTAAATGAATTAAAATAGCATCAATTTGTGTATTACTTCTTCAACATCTTGATAAATGCTTCTTTAAAATATTTGCGAGGTTGTGTCTGTTATAAATACATGATTTTAACTTTTCAATAAGCTGTAGCACAATTTTCAACACTGAAATTATCTAACAACAATGAAAAAAGGGAAGAGTGATCAGTTGTTTAAAAAAATTTATACCTATCACCATATAAGGGGATGACATTACAAATTCCATTATATGTTTTGACTTTCAATGCAGTATTTGGGCTATTGATCAATAAAAAAAAATAAGGTATCAATGCAAAAAGAGAATCTCTGGTTATTAACAAACAACATATCTCCAGAACCAACCATACCAAATAATACTTTTGATAAAATTAAATATGTTTGTTAATGAATGCCTAGTTCCCTTCCTTGTTTGTCTTGGATTCTTCCTTTATTAATAATATTAAAAAAATCATAGCCATAATTCTTGTTAGTATTTTACAATTGTAAAACAAAACCCAAAATCAAAATCAATATATATAAAAAACCAAGTCTTTATCAATTATTATCAATATAAAAAATAAACCACAAATACTTAATAAAAATGCAAGTGAGTTTTTTTTTGTGATTGTTGATTGATTGGCTTTCATTATATTATCAAACCTATTAAATCAGCTCTATAATATCAACCAAAAGATTGATCTAGAAAAAGACATAAACCTAGCCAACTGGTGATCAAAAATACCCAAGGGAAATTTAAAAGATTTCAAACAATTGTTTAATAAAGACTGAGTTTAATCCAAATTTTTCATTTGGTGAAATGAAAACCAAAATATGTGGATTATGTGATGGAGAATTATTGCATCCTCTTTAAAAACCTTACAAGGAATTAATAAAGAATGGAATAATACAAAGATGATGATATAGAAGATGAAGGATTAGCAATAGCAATAGTATTATTAATAATAGTGAAAATATAAAATAGATTTACATCAGAGTGGCTAAAGAATAATCAATGTATTTGGGTTCAAATGATTTCCTCTTATGCAATTGCTCTGGTGGCTTATCTTAATATTTGATATTTATACATAAATTAAAAATTATCATGTATTTTTCTCTTAGTTAAATCAACATCACTTATCCTTTTTGTTGTTATTTAATCCTTTCCTTGAATGTGAATGCATTTGTCTCCATAAATTACATGCTCATTACAATATTCATGATGATTATGTGTTATTGTTATTATTTGAATATGTTCCTTTTACAAAAGATTAATAAATAAATTGCATCGCCCAAGTGATAATAATAACAAAACCATGCAGAAATGAAATTTAAGGAACTGATTTTTAAAAAAGCCACATAATGTCCTGGTGAGTAAAAGATGAGAAATTGGCAGGGTTGGGAAAATAAACCTTGAAATTTTGATCTGATCTTTCTTTTTCATGTATGATGATGGTTCCATCCAAGGATGTTGTGGAAAAATTTTAGTGGTCAAATTTAAAATTCCTAACGGGTCGGGTTCGGGTTGATTTCAGGTTAATGAGAAAATTTTGTAATTTTACATTAATTAGATAACAACAATTAATTAAATATAAAAGGCGAAACAGTTATAGCGGTTTAAAAGCTGCAATTGGTGTTATGCGTGACGCAAAACACAACTCATGACGCAAAACCATAACTCAAGGCAATTCGTGACATAAGACGTAATTCAAGACACAAGATGGCCGGAACTAATCATAGTTTAGGCCTAATTTTGCGGCAAAGTTGGCGAAACCTAAACTGCGGGTGAAAACCAAGCGGTCAATTAAACTCTACTGTTTACTTTCCGACCACAAAAGTGTTTTATTGAACAAAAAAAAAAGGAATTGATTTGTTTTATTATTACAAAACGATTAGGTCAAAAAATGACATTATTTTTATGATAATCTTTTTTAATAAATATGTTTAAATAAATAATAAAAATGCAAATATAAAATATTAATATTAATAAAAAATATAAATCAAATGTCGGAATACGATTGGACGGCGCTTTGATAAATCCGTTTTATTTATCATAAACTTTGGTCAATTTAACCACAGGAGTTTGCCCTAGTTTAGGTGATTTTAAGTTTCATCACTAGTTTAGGAGCCTAAATTCCTAATTTCTATAGGTAAACTATTTCAACTTACTAAAATAATTTCAGCCACCATCACTACACAAGACAATCATGATGTGTGTATGAATTAATTCAAACTTTAACCACATATAAAACTCTTTATTTATTGCATGAAAACTTTTTAATTTTTTAATTTTTTAATTTTTAATGTAACATCAATGCTTCATAGCTAAAAAGGTTTTGTTAGCTAATAAATTGTCATGAATCATGTTTGCACCATGAATTGAGACTTGCATCACGAATTGCATCTTGTATAAAATTATGATAGTTGATAAAATGCAAGTTTTTAGGATTTTTAATTAATAATTTTGACCTCAAGTATAATTGATACAGTCCAAAAAATTTTCAGGTTTCGGGTTAGCCCAGACTGTTTCGGAGCTCTAGTCAACTTTCTACTTGGTTCCCTGATGATATATCATGAATTAAACTTCAGAGAGGGGGAGCGGGCTGGTCCTGGAGTTTATTAATTACATTGTTGTCAAGGAGAATGTTAAAGCCTCTCGCTTTTCTGAAGCCTTCCAACTTGTAATTTGCCTTAACTCATGGATGATAATTGATAAGTTAAAGCCTAAACCTGAGTCTTGTTTAACAGAATTCGAGACAGATTCATCAGATTCAGATCCCTCTGAATCAAATAACTTCAATGCTTCATCTTATTCGCCCAATCTAGCCAAGAAAGAGCCACTCCAACCAGAGAATCAATCTAAAACAGAAATATAGCATAATTTCCAAAAAATAGTAAATATACACATATTATTTATTAAATTTAAAGAAAAAAAAAGTAAATATATAAAATAAAATTAACCTTTCTACATTCATAGTTGCTGTAATCTAAGGTCCCTTCCGTGTGTGTAATCACTTAAAAATATATAAATGAAAATAAAAGTTTTTTCAACATGCTGTGATATATTTTTTAATGATAAAAAGTTAATGTACAAATAAATACCTTGTCTTAATAAACCAATTAAAACATTAGTCTGTAGTGAACGTTCATGAGATTTGTCCATTATAACAGTATTATAATGATCAAGTTCTGATGCTTTAAATGATTCACACCATCAGTTATAAGAAATTAATTTTGTCTTGTACATTTATCAGAGTACTTTCAGAAGTACAGCCTTC